TCGCTGGTGGGGAGAGTCGTCGAGGCAAGGGAGCAGGGCTTCTCGACCGACGACTAGACCGGTTGTTTGCCCTAGGCGCCGCATCTTGGTTCGAGATGAGACCGGGATCCCGCTGATCCAGTGCCCTGAGTGTGGCCAGGCTCGGGTCATTGAGCTACGGGCATGGACAGAGGAGAACTATGGTAGGATTTTTCTTCAAGTGCCTGACAAACGTGCAAGGGGTGAGATCTGTTTGCGCCTGATCTCGTTTCTTATCCATTTTCCCCTTTTTTTTGCTGATTGGGATCTGCATTGGCGAGTTTGAAGCTCATTTTCATTGATATGTTTTTAGGATCCAACTACCTGTCCCTTCTTCGAATGGCAAAAGAAGTACCTAAAGAAGCTGGTTGAGCTAGTCAAGGTGACACTGCACGATGTGGCTGCTGATGATGAAGGAGAATGAGAGGTTGAAGCAGAGTCTATTCCATCTAGTGCTAGGCAAATGCAATCATAGATGGAGAACTTGATCTCAATTGTGAAGCTGTTGGTATTGGTTCTTGGTGGACTGCTAGTTGTAGGGATTATGTACCTTATCAAGTAGTGTTTGGGTGATATGTAATTTGGCAAATGTCGATGAACCTGATGTACCTATAAACCTCATCCTCATGTATGGATCATGTTATGTCTAATGCATTTGATTCAACTGCATGTTGTGGTTTACAAACTGATCATGACAGTGCTTGAAAAAGTGTCCACAAACATGCAATTTGCAATAAAAGGAGTAAGGCAACACATCCATTACATGTTTGCACTAAAGTTTGCAGTCTTCTAGCTAACAAAGTTCAGCAGTTGCTAATGAGAGCAGCAGGGCAACAGAGCCATTATCCCCAGCCATTACATGTTTTTTGCCAGTATTGGCAGCACAAAATAGATTACACAACCATTGTTTGTAGGTTTTCAAGGCTACATTGTAACACCCTCGGTGTTACACTATAAATCTTTTGCTAAAACATATCATGGGCATCATGGTTATGTGTTAATGCATGTGATATAGTGTGTAGATCGATTTTCGTAACTCGAAATGATCAACAGAAATGCGAAACGAAAGTTACATTTCATAGTCAAGTTATATCACCTAGGGTTTTAAATCAATTTTTTATTAAACGAAAATAGTATAGAACGTGTATACATAACTTTAATAAAGTTTGTAGTACAAGTCTTGTAGATGACGATGAAATACCTACGGTCGAATAATGAATTCACTAGCAAACTGATCTAATAGGTTGGAAATTGAATTTTTACGCGAAACCGATCAAGACTTGGTCAAATTTCTTAAGTCGGAAAAGGATTTGACGAGGCTAAGTTTGGCAATTTTTGTAGAGTAATCGGGTTAAGAAGTGATGGGGTATTAGGGCTTGTTTTAGTAGCCTAACATGCCCTCTCGAGTATAGAATAGGTGGTTTAGCAATTGAAGCATCGAATTGGGTTTTCAAAACGCTTTAAAAAGCGTGCATGTCACGTTTTGGACCGAGTTCCTCGCGTGGACGCGGTCACTGTGCCTCGGCACTCGGCGTCGCCGCGCTGGCCGCACGACGCACGCGCGCCCACACAATCGCACGCGTGCCACCGCGCTGGCCTGGCCGCTCTGCCCCGCAGTGTCCTTGCCGTTGCCGTCGTGGGCCAGTCGCTCTGGCCGATCTGCTGCCGCCTGGACGCCGCCTCACGTTGTCACCGCCGCGCCACGGACCGCCGCCATCCTGTCACCGTGCTGCCTCGCGCCGTCATCGTCGTGCCACATCACGCACAAGTTTCCTCTACGTCGCGTCGTCACATCACGTGCACCCGCGCTGCTTGAGTTGCGTCGCCGCTGCCGCTGCTGCACGCGCCTGCTGCACCGGCACATGGTCGTGTTGACCCCGTACGTGCACGTGTAGCCTCCTGTGTGTGCCCTTGTCCTCTTCTATTGAGTGGCAAGCGCCACGCTGCGCTCCCTATTCACCTCCGCCTTTAATGGCGTCGCGCCGGTGTCACCGAGCCGCACCTGAGCCAGCTCACTGCGTTCGGTCTAATCCAAGCAATTGAGTGCGCCAGATGGTTGAGTGGGAACCTAGCTACACGCCATGATTGCCACTGCTGCAGCCGTGCGCCGTAGAGCTCCAATTTGGAGTCTTCTTCCCCATCAACCATCTTAAGGCCAAACGATGACGCTCACCCCAATTAGCCTCGCACCGTCCACCTCCATCCAATTCTTTGGCACCGTGTCTTTGCCTTGATCCCCTCCACCCCCGCGTACCTCAGCCTAGCCGCTACTGGCCCGCCGTGGTCGCTGGCGCGACGGTGTCACCGTAGTGCGCCGCCGCATCTCACCGTCGCACGTGGCCAGCTCGGTTCGGGAAGTCCCCGGCCAAAGCGCCCCCACAACAGCAACAAGGGTACGCTAGTGGTGCTTTAGGGCTAGCTATCTCTCACTTTGGTGGCTTAGGGTGGCCGGCGCGGTCGTGCCGCCGTCGCGCATGGCTGCGCATCGTGGCCACCGTTGCCGCGAGCTCGGTCGCCCCTGTAGCTTCGGCTAGGGTAGGCTCTAGGGTCGTAGGTGCTGTTCGGCTCGCTAGTTTGGTCGAAGAGGGTCCCGGTTGGTCGGCGTGACCGCTCAGTTCCAGCGCCGCCGCGCCGGTGCGCGCGCGGTGGCCCGAGGACTTGGCCATGGTAAAGATGGTTTGTTCCGAGGGCTAAATCGCTTAAGTCCAGACTGTAGGAATAGGGCACATTGGATTCTGGGGAATAACAGTTAGATTGAGGGCATTTTCGCAAAAAGGCCGGCACGCACACGCCGGCGGGTCGCGTGTGTGGGCCGCGCCGGCGGGTCGCGTGCGCGCGCGCGGCGCGGGTGTGGGCCGAGCCACGATGGGCCACGCGTATGGATTCCGGTTTTTCATTTTTCCAGGGAATTAGTAAATGTTTATTCAATTTAGTTTTGAGCTGATCTTTGTAAAATTATAATAAATTATGTAGGTGTCCAAAAATAGTGAAACAAAATTTGTTAGGTTCATAAAAATGTTATCTATCTGTTGGTGTAGTTAGTTTATAGTTATCTATGATAGTGATAGATTCATTAATTCATTTAGGAAATCTTAGTATTATTTAGCTTAATATTTGTAGGAATTTTTGTGGCAAATTGGTGATAGATTTAGGCATGAAATTTTTACAGTTGGTTCATTAAATTATTATATGCTCACTGTAATTTTTGTAGCCCTAGAGTAGGTTCATAAATAGAGTAGCTAGTACTCCTTGTTTTATCATATATAGAGTAAATCGATATTAAGAATAGGGATTCCTTTAGTTGCTAAGTTAATACATGAAATGTTTCATACCTGTTTAGTGAGAATTATAGGTAACTTAGCATCTTAGTCGGTAGAGCTAGCTTAATATCTTGATAGCTGTATTTTATTTTAAGAGTTGCTATTGCTGTATTAGTAAGTGTTGCATCATCATTTCATGCATATAGATAACGAGTTGGTAGAGTTCATGCCTGCGGACGAACAGGAGTATGAAGAGATCATTGAGGAGTACGAGGAGGAGATTCTCGTATAGGAGGGAGCTCCGGAGCCATCAGTTGCTGACTTTGTTGACACACCACCTGCCCAAAGCAAGCCCCGGTACATAACCACTATTTTTGAATCATCATTGAATATATATATATATATATATGTGCATTTACGTTACAGGCATTTTATGAAAACTACATGCATAAATATATTTACCTATAAGTCCTACTAGTATAGGTCGAGTAGCTGTCATGCTCAGGATTTTGGTAGCGTGAGTAACCTGCCGTTACTCACAATAGGTGATTGTTATCACATGATAAAATGGTGGGAAGGAAAATAGAGACCGGGCAGGGATATGGTTCGGGTATTGGTGGGTGTAAGAGGTTGTGTCCTGCGGCCAACAGGACATAGCTTGGTTTCACTTTTTCCCTGTCTATGTCGGTTAAGGACCGGCTGTTGCATTGGGTTCTAGGCAAGTCACAGACTTATTATCCCGAGCACATACTTAGGTATGGGCGCAGGAAAGACTTGTTGCTCTCTTGTCGTGGGTTCCGGCTCTTTCTAGACCGACTGATTGGAGACGGGGATGGTGGAGGTCTAAGCACCGCACTGAGTCTGGGACTTAGGAGCGGGGGCTTGGAGTCCAAGTTTGGATGAGGACCTGGACCTGGACCCCGTGATAGGAGAGTGATGGGTTGGTCGGCACAAGCAGGGCGTGTGTTTCGGGATACCCAGCTAGGCACATTGATTCATGAATCGCCGGTGTTCCGGTACGGCTTGTCTACAGTCTAGCACCGTAGTAAGAACTAAAAGATAAAATGTGATGAAATGGAACTGTTTGCTCAACTCTTGCTTAAAAGTAGAACATGTGCTTACATAGAATGGCTAGATAATGAATTAATCATGACTGCTAATATTAACATAAATAAGGATTCACTATTAGTATTGCTTTCCGCAAAAAGGGAACCCAACAAACCATAAAGCTTATCATATTCCTTGGAGTTAGGAAATTATTCCCACTAGTCGGATAAATCTTGCGAGTACATTGTGTACTCAGGGTTTATTTACCCCTGTTGCAGGTACTGCTTGAGGAGTAGCCATTGTGTGAAGGATTCTTCTGGTGGGCACAAACGGATCCTTGTATATTATCGATAGATGTTTCTTTTTATTCCGCTGTTAAATTTCTGCACTCTGAATTTAGTACTGTAATAATATATTTTTAAGAACTTTGGATGTATGAAATGGACTAAGTATTGTAACTCGTTCTCGTTATTGGATCCTTGGGGAAAACGTGGATTGTTCAGGCTCTCCCTTGGGGTGTGCCCGACAGAACTCACCTGATGTAGCTTGCTTTCGGGGTGCTTAGTGTCTAGTGGAAGACAAGCGCCTCCATAAGTGCGTTATTTTAGGCGGTTCTGCCACATACATAGCCATTACAAAATAGCCCAAATTAAGACTTCTAGCTTATCAAATAGATTAGGTCTTGGTTGGACTGGCCTTCTTCACCTTTGAATCCAACTGTTTCTTTCTGGGCGTCATCTTCTTAGCAGGTGCAGAGGGATCTTCACTTACAACCATCTCTAGTGGTATAGGCTCATCTAAGGGCAACCTCCTGGATCATGGGATGCATTGTTTGGTAATTGAACCTATAATATGGACCAAAAACATGGAAACTGGATGAAACATACCTCTTAGTAGGTGGAATTGTAGTTGGTTGTGCTTGAGATTCAGCTTCAGCTGCTGCTGCTTCCCTAGCAGCTGCTGCCCTTGTTCTTGGAGTATTTGGAGCTGGCTTGGAGGGAGAAGGTTGATTGGAAGAAGAACCTTCCTTGGGTGCATCAGTCTTCAACTTCTTCCTACCCACTGTTGATTTAGTCTTTTTGGTCCTTTTCCTACATTTTCAGTTAGTTAGTACAGATTATTAGTACAACAATGATGTAAATTTGGTTAGAGTGATACCTTTTCTTAGTGCCAGTTAGGGGACAATTGGAGCTTCCTTTCTTGTGCCCAAGTTCACCACAGCCATCACACTTTGATGGTCTTATGGCTTTCCCTATCCTCTCCAAGCAAGATAAAATCCTTTTCTTCCTCAGCCTTCCAGTAGTTTTCTTTTTCATCTTGGCAACTGGTGGCTGCAACTTGAAACCTTTGTCCACTTGAGGCCACTGATTCCTGTCAGTGATGTTTGGTATTACTCCTGCATATGCAGCTTTAAATTTCTCAACTGAGAAGGCCATGTCTATGTATTGTTTCATGTTTGGGATCCTCTCTGTGGTGATGACTGCCAATGCATGCTGGCAGGGCTTCCCACTGACCTCACATTCTCTGCAAGTGCATATTTTCTGATCTAGGTACATAACATGTCTTCTCACTTCTTCATCTTTGTACACTACTGACACCTCGGCTTGGTTTCTATCCACTTTTGTGACCATCAAGTGCCTCAATCCTTTTGATGTAGCATTCATTTAATGAACCACAGCAGGCAGTATAGTTTCTTTCAGAGCTCTAGATATAGTCCTCCTCTTTGCAAATAACTTCAATGTCTACTCCCTAATAGCATCAGCTAATGCATATACAGGAAGATCTTTGTGCTCCTTGATCTATGAATTTTAGGATTCAGCCAAGTTGTTATTGATGTAGTCACATTTGATGTCAGGTGAGAACTTGGATCTGGCCCACAACAAGTTGTGATGCTCATTTAGCCATGGCAACACTGTAGTAGAAGCAACGATGACCTTGCTCATGAAATACTCATGTTTGTCAGGGAGATAGGCCCTGGTAGCAGGCCACATGTACTTGGAATAAATTGCACCTCTAAATTTCTTCTTCATGTTGTTCGTTTGATGCTTGACGCACTCCCTATGTTTAGCTTGAGGGAAAACAATCTTCATAGCAGCCTCTAATCCTTTACAAGCATCTGTACAGACTGTTAATTTGTCCATTGGGCCTAATGCATCTCTCATTTTTCCATGAACCATGTCCAATTTTCCTTGGTTTCTCCATCAAATAGACCAAATGTTATAGGAAACATCCAGTTATGTCCATCAATAGCATTGGCAGCAGGCATGTGCCCATTCCAGTGCCCATTGAGGGCAGTGGAGTCTATGCTAATGTAAGGCCTACAACCTTGTAAAAACCCATCAATGCTAGCCTTGAATGCACAGAAAAATTTGCTAAAATGAATTTGTAAATTTACTTCCACTGTACCTATCTCAACAACACTTCTAGGGGATCTAAGCTCTACCTTAGCTTTGAACCTATACAACCAATCATAAAAATCATCCACTTACCAAATAAAATGTCATAAGCTCTTTGCCTTCCATACCACATAGTCTTGTAGGGTATTTGGATTTTGTACTTCTCTTCTAGCTCATCTTTCACTACCTTTGCACCCATCCCTTGTTCCTCTCTTCAAGAGTGGAATAGCTCTTTCTGCAACCCATGCTTGAGATGCCATCCTACCTTCAACTCTGCTTATTGATGGACAATTATGCTATCTGTCATTTATCTGTACCTGCATATGCAAACATATTGACTATCAGTCCACCAATATTAGTAAAGAGATGGTGATGCTCGAGTGGAAGTAACAAATTACAAGATACAAACAAAAAAATATGTACCCTGGCATTGCCATCAAACTGTGTTTTTAGCTCTAATCCTCCAAGAACATCCCTTGGCATTGCAGCAACCCCTGAACCTTTTCTTGTCTGATTTCTCAGTGTGCAACTCAAACTCCCCAATAATTGCATGCTGCCTAACTGCAAGTCTGAACTCAGGCATTGAGGGATAAATGGCTCCAACATCCATATCTGGATTATCCCTATCCCATTCAATAAGTGGCTCTGAACTAGCTTTGTCATCAACAGGGATAGCTGTTTCCTCCATTTCTTGCTGGATCTCTGGTGGGTTAGATGGGATAGGAACTTCTTCAGCTGCAGCAGCAGCTGCTTCCTCTTCTGCAGCTTTGAACCTATATGCCTCAAATACTGCATCTTCATCAGCCAACATAGTAGCCTCACCATCTTGATCATCACTAGGTATTATGGTTAGAGTGCTCCAATCAACAGCAGGTTCTGGTGCACTGAAAGTTTCAGCTTCTGGAGACATAGCTGTATCATCAACTGCTTCTGACTATGCTACAGATTGGGCAGTAACCCCAGATGTTGCACGACCACTAGCATTATGCCCAGCTGGTGCTGACCGACCCTTTTCCCTGACCTCACAGGCAAGATACAACAAATTAACATCCATCCTAGCCCCCACCATCTCAACAAAATGTTTGTTAGTTGTTACCTTCCACTCAGTCCCACTTTCTATATCAACTCACCACACAATCAGCTACTGACTAGGCCCCCAGATAATGTTGCTAGCCATTTCCTCGACAAAGTTACTTAGATTGAACACAGACCTACTGTCAAACCAGACACCATGCCTTGAATCTTCCATTTCTAGTGGCCCATACTCTAGATTGGTAGTGAACTTAGCACATTCAACAACAATTCTAAACGCATTGCCAGGATCAATCCTGGCACATGTCGACAATGAAAACAGTTTGGAATTAGAATTGATCCAACTCCATAGCCATCACAGCGAATACAATCCATACAATATCCTACTTACCAAGGAGGGCAATTTGACGACTTCATTCCGCAAGACGAACAAATCCACTACCTACGAAGCGTAGTAACGCACAAACCATGAACTTTAATGACCGCAAACAAAATCAAAACCCTAACCACATCGAACCCTAGGTGGCAACCGAAACCACAGAGGAGACGAGAGGGGGAAGAGAGAGAGGAAGGTACACCTACATCCATGAGCACCGCCGGCCTTGCTTTCACCGAACGCCACAGATCCTCACGCCGCACCGTCGGATCTCCTCGCGCCGCTCCTCAGTGCGAGGGAGAAGAAGAAGAATGGGGCCGGCTAGGGATACGGGGAGTGAGCCCACACGGTTAAGGGATAAGGCAAGGGGTAGCGAGGTCTTTTTACGTGCACCTGCCACGCTGGCAAGCTGACTGGGCGTGCCACGCAGCCAAAATGTCTACAAACCGAAAGTTTTGGTCAGTTTAGGGTAAAAAATTAGGACCGCATAGAAAGCTGGCAATTGAGCTCGTGCCAGCCATAAGAGTGGTAAAAAGTTAAATATCCCCCGTCGACGCGTCAATGTCAATAAGATCGTATTGTCGCTACTCCTAGAATTGGTAGGCCGGCACAGGTACAATAAAAACCCTCATTTCCAATTACTTTTAGCTGATTAAAGAAATATATTCCAGCAGGAAATTAAACTGTCCAATTCAGAGCTCCAGTGCAGAGAGTGACAACGGGTGATGGACATCATTTCCTTCTCAGCCATCGTGCTCAAGCGAACGTTTTTGTATATATATGTGTTTAATACTCAAAGCCTAAAGAGTAAAGGTGCATGCTTTTTAATTTCCTTAAATGATACTAGTACTATAATAGGAGTGCTTCTGCCAATTTGTTACTAATTTTGTTAAAAAAATTAAGGAGCAAAGACGCAATTACACACTACAATCTGGCCGATGGCCGTGCGTATTTCATCAGTTATTAGTGCGCGACATTTGGGTACAATTTTGTGAACTGGAACCCCTGCGTGGTAAGCATGCATGTGTAGGTGGTTGGACTTGTTGGCAGAGTGGAAAACGCTTAACGTCTCCATTCTGAAATTAAAGGAGAAAAATTAAGTTTTTTTTCGCTAATCCAATACGAACAAGATATCTCTTTACATTATATAATTTGCATGTGCTTTTGGGCTGAAGTGCGGTTAACAAAATTTAATAATCGTATAAATAACATACTCCAAAGGAACTTTGGAAGTTAGGTACGGTGGTGGTAACGATATTAGGTGTGTACTGACCAAATGACAGGCATATCTCATTTTGAGGAGTTATTTATTAAAAAAAACTAAATATAGTATTATGTATACGATGATGCATAACGAGTACCATAAGTAGATCATGAAACATATTTTTATAATAAATTTATTTAGAGATACAAATGCTTGTTAATTAAATTTATAAAAGAACTCGACTCTTTAAAGAGCGTGGATTTTTTAGATGGAGAGAGTAGTACATAAAATAAAAAGAACTTATATACGTCAAGACTTAATAAAATCAGGGGCAGAGCGCCGGAACCGGAAGCTCCGATCCGTGGTCGCGGCGAGGGCGAGGGACACGGCACAAGGATCAAGGGGATATGATTTGAGAATGAGAAGAGCATCTTGGCTGAGCGTGAGCGGCTAGCCCACCAACACTAACTTTTGCCGGTTATATTATACATAAAAAACACCAACTTCTGCCAAAACAAACATACTAGTACGTACGTTTCATCACTGTAGTAGCGATAACAACCTGACTGAGCGTTCCACTCACTCACTCACCACTTGTGTAACGCTAACGCATTGCCTTTTCAGCTGGGCGATGGCATCCGTACAGACGTTGCCGGAGTAGTTTTTGGTTCCCTGTTCCCGGCGCATTTGCTCATCAGCTGTCACCTTGGACGTTAATGAAAATGAATGAGCGACGTTTCAAAAATAGCCTCTTTTAACACTTAACAGGGTAGTATGTGTTTCTTCGTATAAATAAACAATAAACAATGAAGCAAGAGAAGAAAACCATGTTCTGATAGTTTCAACTTTTGGATAAAAATAGCTACGGCTATTTTTTTTTGGCTTAGTTACACTTTTAGAAGCCATTCCCTAACCTACTCCTTCCTTGGTCACGAAGTAAAACCTACATTTGGTTTCTTGACAAGTCCAACATTTTCATATTTAACCAATTATATAGAAAGTAGTGTCAATATTTGTATTTTCAAATAAGTTTATTATGAAGATATATTTCATTGTACATCAATCCAACAATACTTATTGCGCATAGTAAATACAAATATGTTTTTAAATGTATTTGGTCAAAACTATAAATGTTTCACTGTTGGAGAATCAAGAAGTGCACTTGTTGTATCATGAAAGAGATAGTACATGTCTGATAGTACGTTTTTTTTTTAAAAAAAGGTGAAGAAATTGTTAGGAATTTAGGAAATTTCATGTTAAAATTAATCTAGAAAAATAATAACAAATTTGTGATGACAATATGTGCACGTATGTGATTTTACTACTACTCAGATTAGCAGCAAATATATTGATGAACATCATATTGATCATGGCGGAAAAGAGATTGAACTTAACCAATTTGAGAATAGAGATGTACCCTGCGGAGGGACCCATGCTCAATGCACCGGTGGCTCCAGACCCACTCATGGTGAGTTGCTCGAAGTCGCGGACTACAATCGGTACAGGAAGAAGTACGCAGTGCTGTCCTTCGAACGTCCACCGGGAAGTAGACGAAGCCGATCCGAGGAAGAAACTAGGAAGAAGATGAAGACGAAGACGGCGAGCAGTCGCGGAGACGCTCCCCAAAAACCAGATCGCCCGCACACAAACGAGCAGGTGTCCCGATGCGAACGGCGGTTCCGGAGGCCTGCTCTCCCAAAGCTCCGTGCGCGCAGAGGATGGGACGGGGAGTACTCGAATACAACTCGACCAGAGGAAGGAGTGGTATGGCTTGTGAGACAACAGGGAGATAGGAGGGAAGATAATGCTAGAGAGATCAGGGAGACGAAGAGTCAAAGTGATTACGAGTAATCACACCGTAGTGGATGGTAACTGACCTGTAAGTAACTCCTCCACGTTAGCATTGTACCTCTTCCTCTTCCTTAGCCAGCCCAAGTGGCAAAACCATCCCACACCTGCCCACGACACGCAACGCAACGCTCGGCTCGGCTCGGCTCGGCGGCGGCGCGCACGTGTGGCACACCTTTGGCCTCTTTCAACTTCTCTATAGGTGCATAAGTGTGTAGCCCTGCTTAAGTTGAGTCAACAATCAGTTAAAATCTCATACGAGGCTAAAATTATATTGTACCACAACATTTAATATATGCCTAGAATTAATTAATTTATTAAATAAAATATGGGCCCGAACCCACGTAATATTCAACAGAAATTTTCCTAACAAAAGCCCGCGAGCCGGTGAAGAGAAACCAACCACATGCCAACAAATGTCTAACTGTCCGGACACCAGGGCAGCGTTGTCCGTGGCGGCCATTTTATTATTTTACATATCTGAACAATCGGCATGCTTGCAATTGCATTGCATGCCCGCTTAAAAAAAACTGAACCGTCAGGCGCCTTTTTTTTCCAATAATGTACTAGTACTGGTATAAGAGAGGAGAGAAGGAAAAAAATAATCGAGACGTCATACACGCAAAGACTATGCCTCCCTTTGGCACGGCTCATTAGCCGGCTTCTCGAGCGGCTTTTGATGAAGCCGTGTCAAACGGTGCTCAGAGAAACAGCTTGAGCCTAGAAGCCGGGGAGAAGCCATTCAGCGGCTTACATTGGAGAGGGCAAGCCAAAAAATGTGGCTTCCCCCGACTTCTTCCTCAACTTTTCCATCTTTGTCCTCGTGGAAAGCACGGCAACGCGGCAGGTTATGAGGCGATCCCACGCGAGGCCATCGTGGTGGCGCGCCACCACTGCATGGTAGGCGTCTGGTGATCCCTTGCCTCGCCCCGCCCCAGAAGGATTTGAGGCAGGCGGCGAGCGCCAAGTGACGGGATCTGGGAGGCACAATGGGAGGAGGCCGGACCACACCGGTGAGCACGGCCATGATGGGGAGGCGCGAGCGAGGGCACGAGGCTGCCGGGAGCCGGAGAGTGCGAGAGGCTGGCATTGAGGGACGCGTAAGCGCGTGGCTGTCGGGGCCGCTAGGGCGCGGGATGAAGAAGATAAGGTCACGCGTGCGTCGGTGCGCTGCAAGGTGGATGAGATAAGGTCATGCGTGCGTGTGGTGATGGGGTAGATAGAGAATGGAAGGAAAAATAAAATAAGTGAAGAAAATTAAGAAAAGAAAAAAAATTAGAAAAAAATAGAAGGGTCATATTATCAATATTTTATATTTATTAATTTTTTTATTTCACGCAAATCACATTATCAATAGAGTAACACATAAAACTCATATCTCCAAGCAATACACATATGAAGGGCATAATGGACAATTGACATCTTCTATATATTCTAAAAAGCTAGGAAAAGCTATTTTGCCAAACGTTTTCGTACAAAATAAACCAGAGCCAGAAAAAACTGATTTTTCATAGGAGTCAGAGCCAAAATTGTTTTTTCACGAGCTCCTCCTACTTCGTCTCGTCTCTCTGGTCCCTTCTCGTCTCTCGCATCGCCACGACGCGCCACGGCATCAGATTCAGATCAGATATAAATATATAATAACCGCCGCCTTGCGACACCGCCCCTCTCCCTCTCCCTCTCTCTGCCCCGTGCCGCGCTGTGCGGCCTTCGACGCCGTGCCCGTGAGCCAACCAGGCGCGCCTCTCTCTCTCTGCCTCCCTCCACCCGGGTCTCCACGCCGCCGCCGCCGCCGCCGCCTCCACCAGACGCCACCGCGCATCCGCTGCTCCCTTCCTCTCCCCTGCCCCTCTCGGCGGCCGGCAGGGCGGGCGAGGTCGCAGTCACGAGGTACGCACACCGGCCCCGTTCCTCCTTCCTTCTTCTCTGACTCCGCGTTCGTTCAGCCGGGACGAGTCGGACGGAGGCGACCGACCGGGAGCGGCGCCTCCGATCTGACGCGCGCGCGCGCGCGGACAATCGCTGTCGCGTCCGGGGAATTCGTTTCCGAATCAATCTTGCTTGCGTGGATGGATTTATGATGAGGCCGTTGAACGGGGTGGCGCGAATGTGACCGCCGGCCGGGTGGCTGGCCGCGACGGATCAAAAACGAATCTTTCGTTCCTCCGATCCGACAACTACGACGTGCCCGTAACCGTAGTAGGCCGTAGGCGCGCTTAATTTGGCCCCCGCCCGGTCGCTTTCTTCCTACCCAATTACCAAAGCCAAAGCCAGCCATGGCATCGCCTTGTCCGTTTCCGCGCCGTGTTTATTCGCCGGGACCGCGATTCCATTGCGCTCTGCTCTCTCTGGTCTCTAGTGTAGGTAGTGGTGGCCGTCCTCGCCAGCCAGTCCTACCCCGCTCGTCCGTGGCGTCGCGTCAAATGCCACGGCCTCCTGGTGACTGTGTGCCCGTGGAGGTGTCTCGGTGCCCCACCAGGCAATGATGCTCCTCTGATTCTCTCCACCCGTGGCCGTGGCGCCCGTCCGTCTACAAGTACCACCTGGCCGCGCGGTTGGTTCCAGACGGCAGTCCACTATCCTTTGTTTAGGCCGAGTTGAGTTGGGTTCCAAAATCTTGGGTTGGTTGCAGAATCACCGTCGTCGCTCGACGATCTTGATTCGGTACCGCATCTTCTTTTTTCCATACCGAGCTTGAGGAATCTACTTTTTTTTTGTGCTTTCGGGGTAACAGATGCTTGAGGAATCTACCTTTTTTTTGCGTGCTTTCGGGATAACAGATATTCGCAGCCGTCTTGATCCTGCGTGTGCCTATCTATCTAGTGATGGTATATGAATCTGTTTTGAGGTTTTACTTGGTTTGGTTTCATTGGTTGGGTTGGATAGAGTGTAATGTAGCTTCGTCAAGGGTATGAATCTGTGTGGATATTCTGTTTCTGTCCATTTTTTTAAATGCCCTTGCTTGAATCTTCTATCCATTTTTTTCATGCACTTAGCTTGAATATTCTACTAGGTTGGCTTGTGCTATTGTGTGTGGACGACTAAATGTTCGTGGGATTTACTAATCAGGGTGACTTGTCTGCACTTAGAGATGATGTCACTTCTGGGAAAGGGAAAGGGAGCCAAAGAAAAAGGGAGGGAAGGGAAAGTTTTTTTTTTCTCTATATTTTTTCAATTCCCCCTAATTGGAACTTGAGATGTGCTACTGCTGTATGTTTCAATGGACCACAAAAGGGCATGATTGGTTTCCTGGTTCAGCATAGCCTAGTTCGTATTAGTGAACCAGGCCCCAGGTAGCCAGGATATGTACAATAGCAGTTTGATTGGTTGCTTGTTTTCATTTAGCCAGGATATTGAGAGTCAATGCTTGTTTTGAATTTTACAATTTCCACACTAACTGTAGCAGGAATTGAAATGCGTGTAACAAGTTTTCTTATACTATATAGCATTTCAGCGTGCATCTACCATCATCTTTGTAGTCGTGTATTGATTTTTATCTTATTTTCAGATGGAAAGCCATAATCCATCACATTCTCAGATTGCTGAAGTGAAAATGGACATCTCAGCATCAGCTTCTGGAGCAGCAGGGAACAAATTCTGCAAAGGTGCTGCCTGTGATTTCTCTGATTCCAGTAACTCCTCGAAAGATGCCAAGGAGAGATCCGCGTCCATGAGGAAGCTTATAATTGCAGTGATCCTTTGCATCATATTCATGACGGTGGAAGTGGTTGGGGGCATCAAAGCAAACAGTCTTGCCATCTTAACTGATGCAGCACATCTTCTTTCTGATGTGGCAGCATTTGCCATATCATTATTCTCTCTCTGGGCTGCTGGATGGGAAGCAACACCGCAGCAGTCTTATGGGTTCTTTCGGATTGAGATTCTTGGTGCCTTGGTCTCCATTCAGCTCATATGGCTACTTGCTGGCATACTGGTATATGAGGCTATTGTAAGGCTCATTAATGAGAGTGGCGACGTGCAGGGCTCCCTCATGTTTGCTGTGTCGGCATTTGGATTGTTTGTCAACATTATAATGGCTGTATTGCTAGGCCATGACCACGGGCACGGCCATGGTCACAGCCATGGTCATTCACATGACCATAGTCATGGTGATTCAGATGATGACCATTCCCACCATGAAGAACAAGAACAGGGCCATGTCCATCACCACGAGCACGGCCATGGAAGTTCTATTACTGTTACAACACATCACCACCACCACTCAGGCACTGGACAACATCATGATGTTGAGGAGCCACTGATTAAGCATGAGGCTGACTGTGAGGGTACCCAATCTGCTGCCAAAGCTGCTAAGAAGCCTCGACGCAATATAAATGTACACAGTGCTTATCTTCACGTGCTTGGGGACTCCATCCAGAGCATCGGGGTGATGATCGGTGGGGCTATCATCTGGTACAAGCCTGAGTGGAAGATCATTGATCTTATCTGCACCCTCATCTTCTCGGTGATTGTGCTGTTCACCACAATCAGGATGTTGCGCAACATCCTTGAAGTCCTGATGGAGAGCACACCCCGTGAGATCGACGCCACCAGGCTGGAGAGGGGGCTTTGTGAGATGGAAGGCGTGGTTGCCGTCCATGAGCTGCATATCTGGGCCATCACAGTGGGGAAGGTGCTCCTGGCTTGCCATGTGACAATCGCTAGGGAAGCCGATGCTGATCAGATCCTTGACAAGGTAATCGGGTACATCAAGACGGAGTACAACATCAGCCATGTGACCATTCAAGTCGAGCGTGAATAGGGGATTGTCTTTTGGTTGTCAGGGGGCATAAATGGCGTCACGTCTTCACTGGTTATCTTATTCGTGTTGGTTGAAACTAGTTTTTTGCACCTGGGAAGTTCATCAGGGATTCGAGCTTTGATGCTGGGTAGTGTCATCTATTACTAGTCTATTAGGCGGAGGAATTATTTGGGTGGTGGTAGGCGTCAGTCAGTGCATAAACATGGATGAAATTTTCGGTCATGCTGTTGACAGCATTGTGGTTCATCGAACTACATCTGTAGTTTAGTACGCGCTGTCATCTCCTTTTGTGTAAGGTAACGTTTCTGTGGTATGGAAGATGTGAAGTTCGTGCTTGGCCTGTTACTGTTTGTTCTGAGCATGCTTGGTCGATGCAGTTGAATGAACTTGTGGGAACCGAGACGTGAAGTTCTCTCGGTTGACTCGACTGTATACCTAGTGATGGGTGTCTGCTGCTTTTCTTCTTTTTATTTTATCTGATCTGACAAGCAGATGGTCAATTGTTTTTTTCTTGGTGATGAAATTACTCTATTATTAATTTCCGAAATCTGATGTCGGCAAAGCAGCAAACTCTTGCAGCCCGGGAGCAGGAAGCTGTTACCCGTTTTGAACTTCAAACCAGAAGCGTTGCATACTTTATTAGTTTGTAAAATCTTCTCTTTATGTTTTGTTTGCATCCTTCTCTTAATGTCTACACTCTAGTTAAAACCCAAGCCTTCTTCTGAATCAATTTTGTTTAGGGTAAAGCGCCCAATGGAAATCTCAAAACTGGCGACCTGAACCTGAATCTGGTTTCAGAACCTGACTAAACAGTCAAACACCCAACTAGGATGAAGAACTGGAGAATAACTTGGAGCAATGTTGAAGAACAAGGTATCCAATACCCGTGCAGCGTTGTAGGTCTTCAAGTGCTTCAAATGTTTTTGAGCTTGGCTCAGACGGACCGTTTCATTATACAGTTTTGGTTGCTTACATCAAGGTGGCAAGAACACGGAGACGATGCAGTGAAGTCTCAAGCAGAGCTGTTTGCACATTGAAGCCAACCAGGTATCCAATCACTGTGCAGATCTTCAGAGTTTCAGATAACCGACAAAGGCTCAGAACGACAGAACAACTAGCAGGTAATTCACGTTGTCCAAAAAGGAAAGAGAAAGCATAATCTCACCAGGTAATCCGACGAACTGTAAAGAGTTGTCCCACCAAAAGGAAAATTAAAATTCATTCACAATCCTAGAGACTCGCGGCACCGCAGAATCCCATGGATGCAATTTGCAACCACTACTTGTTCAACTAAAAATATTGCTACCATTACCACCAATGCAGACTTTCTACTAGAAACACCTTCTCATAGTGCCTCATCAGTAGAACTGCTTGGTGAATGTGTTCCCCTCAGTGTGAAACAGGGAAAAAACATGCAAAAGGATCGACAAGTTGATGATAACCTAGTAAATGCCAGATTTACAACTTATATACTATTAAGTTTAGATAGAGATTAACCAATTACATAGCTATATGTAATTGTTGGGTTCCTTCACTTGATGCGTCCTAGGTCATGCAAGTTTGTGTATTCACTAAAATTGTTGGGTTCCTTCACTTGATGCGTCCTAGGTCATGCGGAAGAATTTGGACACAAAGCTTGTGTGGTTGTCAGGTCAAACTTGATCTGAAATGTTATTTCAAGAAACATGAACTTGAACTACATGGTTCACTAAAAGGAAATCGAGCCGAATTCAGCATATCCTGAATACAAACACACGTGTCAATCTGCAACGTGAACTGAAAAATAACTCAAGTAAACAAAAATTTAAACATGAATAATTCACTGTCGCCAAGAGTAATGTAAGATATGTTCCTGGCACGGCGTGGGAAAATATGAAGTTCCTGCTTACTGCCGTGTCACCCTTTCTTTTTGAACTTCGCTACCGGTGATGCTTGCATACAACAACAACAAGCAAGCATCGAGAGTTACAGGGAATTCAGGCTAGTGCAGAATTCTTAAAACACTGCCAAAAGTTTGATTCCAGGTTACAGCAGGATCAGAAAAGAAAATGATAGGTCACACTCGGCTATGTCCACAATAGCCAGTATTGTTGCTTCATCTCACTAGAACACAGAAAAGAACAGCAGAAATCAGCTGCGCAGCCCACATAACGTCAGCCAACTTAGGTAGATACATATGGTCGTGTGCTGATACTGTGTATCCATGACTGTATCAGTATAGCACTCATTACAAAATCAAAATGGGCTAAAGTTTCAGCTAGGCAATAGATTAAACATGCTAGATAGATAAAATTTTATCACAATGTCTACATCATATACATATTCATCTTATATTTGACTTCCAACAGCAAGATGGGAAGAACTCGAAGAAATGTAAACCTCACTGCATTGAACTAGTGAACCGAATGGAGCACTTGCACAAATGCAATGCCCAAAATCAGGTCTCCAATGCCCTGGCAGGTCTTCAGCTCACTTATGACGCCCGAGATACACAGCTACCACAAATCCATACAGAGGAGAAAACACAATTTCAACATAGAATCCAATGAATCGAGCTGTCACACCACAAATCACACCAAAGAGTTGCCCTCGCCACAATATCAATTAATGAACACCGAAGACTCGTCCACCAAAGAAACCCGCAGATGCGACTTCCAAACATCACGACTTGCCTGCTGCTTGATTCTGAAGCCCTTGCAGCCAAAAACTTGAGTTTGTCATGCACTTGAAATGCCTTTTTCCGATCCTTCACCCGTAGAACCCGAATCAATTACTGCACAAATGACAGAAACAAAGGAAATAAAATCAGTTGGGTCATTGACAGTTTGCCGTGTGCCACAAGTACAAACATGTTCTTAGTAACCCATAAATACACTAACGCATATAATGCAGAGCATTCGTGTGCCACAAAATCATTCAGAGACAATGGACTTGTACTTCATAGGAAACAACACCTCTCCTTTCTTGAGCACAGGTATTATTGTCCAAGCATATTACTTACACTCAAGATCATTCATAGCTAAGGGATATAAATTACAGCACAACACATAGGGTTATAACTTATAAGCACTTCACTAGCCATACCTGGAACTGGAATGCAGTAGCTTGTGTATGGGTAGACTCTGGACAAGCCCTCAATAATCTTCTTATCCCTCCCTGAATTGAGTTCGGCCATGTAGACATTGCAATCAAATCCATGTGTGGGCACGGCCAGTAAGATGACATCAGTGGCCTCCATAAAGCCAATTATAACAGGACGTTTTAACCATCTAGGAAGATTAGGTGGTGGAGGCAGGAGGGCATCACTTGGTAACAGCGCCCAGCTTGATGACCCTGCCCTGCGCCCATCGTGCAACTCCATTGGGAGCTGTCTCTTGCAACCACAGACATAGGGAGAGGCTTGGTTCCTTCTCCACATTGAAGAATCCCAGCTTACCGTCCACACCCACCATGTACAGCCAACGCAGATGCGGAGGCCGCCGATCAATCACTGACAGACGCTGCGCACCTAGCTGGTACTCAAATGCATACTTCTCGTGAGCGCGGAAGTAGAGTGTGTCACCCACAAGTGTGCTCGTGCATGGACAAGGCTCAACGGATGCATCAGGGCGCTGAACAGAGGTCAGCCCGCTCCAAACACCAGTCTCCGACGAGTACAGGGAAGCAGACGTGGACGAGTCCAGTCTTGGCAACGCAGGTAGTGAAGACGAAGGCTACACGGAAGGGACCCCCGTGGCAACCGCGGTGGTCGCAGCTTCCCGAGGCAGCGGCGCAGAGCACAGCGGCGTTGAAGGCGAGCTTGTGGCGATTGGGCGGGGGAGAGGGCGGGGGCAAGAGGTGGCGCTCGTCGGTCAGGGGGTCCCAGACGACGAAGTGTCAGCAGACGCCCTGCTGTTACTACGGAGAAGAGGACCGAGGATGGGGAAGGCCCGCAAGTCCGGCCCAGATCGCCAAGACAAAGGAAGCCCAATCCCAGATTCATCGGAGAGCAATGGGCCTGAGGCAAACGCTTGCTAGCGTGAAAGGGGCAAGTCCCCTGTAATATAAAGAAGGGAGAGAGAACACTCGTGAGGTACACGGATGTAAACAGAACTCAAGTTACTCTACTAAGATTCATCATCGCTACCTCTGTTCTTCTTCCTCCTCAACTTCTCCTCCACGCCTCCTTTTTCCCCCTTCTCCCGACCTCTGCCTCTCACAATTGGTATCAGAGACAACGCTCCTCGGCCTCCGATTCCGTTTCCGACCCACTGTTCCCCATCGATCGCTTGAATTCCACCGGGTTTTGGTTGGTCTAACCCTGAATCGAGGCCTGTGGACTGCAGCTTGATTCGGGGATTCCGTAATTCCGATCCAGGAATCGCGATTTGTGGTGTGCGTCGATCTGGATCGAGCCTCCCTCTCTTCACACGAACACTATACCCGCCGCCAGAAGAAACTCGGGGCCATGGATCCGAACCAGAAGCTCCTCCTGGATGAAATCGACAAGCGCATCGCCGCCCACTTCGACGGTCTTGAGCGCCGGCTCGACGCCCGCCGATTCCTCCTCATCCGGACTTGATGCCTTGAAAGCGCCGCCCGCTTTGTTCGATGAGTGGCGCCCGGCCGATGGCTTCATCGACGACCTGACGCAAGCGTGGAGGTCAAGCGCCTCTCCTCCCGCTTGAGGTCGGGAAGATCTCCAAGTACATGGAGCGCCCATGGTGGATGGGCCATCTCCGACCCGGGTGTGCACGGTCCGCTCTCGACGTGCTTCGCCCCAAGCCCCCGGCTCCGCCCCCGCCAAAGGCTCCGCCCCCACCGTCAAGTCCTCCCCACAGACTCCGACGACCAGTCCCCCACGGCACACCAACACACAAGACGGCCACGCATGGGGAATTCGAGGCTGCCCCGCGCACATCTGCAGGAACATCAGCCAACAGGCCCGACGGGCACCGCTTCGATTTTGGGACCCGGGACGGTGCTTTCGGAGTGCCCACCACTCTGATTCCACCGCCCGGCAAGGGTACGTTTCCTGGCCGACCTCCTTCCATGTTTCCTCTCCCGTGTCCTCCGCCTCGCCCACCACATCCACACCCACAGCACCATTACGAGGCCGGTCATCAGGGGGATTCTAGAGGGGATCACATAGGGAAATTGCCTAAGTTTGATTTTCCTAAATTCGACGGTGACCACCCAAAACTGTGGATTAAGCAGGCTGTTCATTACTTCAAACTCTACCGTGTCGAGTCCACTGTGTGGCTATCTGCTGCCACTATGCATTTCCAAGGACCAGCCAAGCGCTGGCTCTCTTCAGTGGAGGAAGAGCTTGAAAATCAGGGGTGGGATGAGTTCTGTGCACAATTGTTGTCACGCTTTGCACGCGACGAACACGAACTCCTTCTCCGTCGTTTGTTCCAAATCCGGCAAACTGGTCCTGTTTCTGAGTATATCGAGAAGTTCGTAGGGCTGGTAGATGAACTCAAAGCTTATGCTAAACATCCAGACCCTCTTTACTATGTTCAACGTTTCATTGACGGCTTGCGTGATGAAATTAAAGCTGTTCTTATGGTTCACAAGCCAGCTACTCTGGATACTGCTTGCGTCTTGGCTGAATTGCAGGAGGAAGCATTGGGGCTCACCAAACGGCCATACCGGCGCTTCGATCAAGCCAGCAACTCCAAGCCCGGGTGGGGGCCTCCCTTGGCCTTGCCGCCACCGCCTCCACAAGCTCCTGGTGCGGTCAAGCGCCCCGTGAATGTCGCCGCAACGACGATTGATGACAAGATGCAAGCCCTTCGTGCTGCTCGTCGCGCTCAGGGGCTCTGTTATCGCTGCGGCGCCAAGTGGAGCCGGGATCATCGATGCTCGAGACAAGATGCTTTCACCTCGTTCAGGAACTTTGGGATATTCTGCCAATCTCTGATGATGCAGATGAGGAGGGCCCGGCGTCCCCGACGACGTCCCATATCATGATGCACCTATCGGTGTCAGCAATGGTAGGCTCAACTACACCGGGCACTCTATGTTTGTCGGGATCTATTCAGGGCATAGCTATCTCCATCTTGGTCGACTCTGGCAGCTCACACTCATTTCTGAATGCGTCCCTCGCTCAGTCGTTGGTGGGTGTTCAAAATCTGGCTCAACCTATCAGTGTTCAGGTAGCTAATGGCGATGTCACTCAGTGTTCAGCCCATATTCCTGCAGCTCGTTGGGAGGTCCAGGATTACTCATTCTCTATTGATTTGAAGTTGTTTCCATTGTCTGCTTATGATATGATTTTGGGACTGGATTGGTTAGGCAGTTTCAGCCCTATGCACGTTCACTGGTCTCATCAATGGATGGCCATACCTTATCAGGGCTCTACTGCAGTTTTACTAGGCAAGTCTGCGTCAGTGCCATCAGGTTCAGTCATTCAGTTATGTTTGGTGCAGGATTCAGCAGAACCTCATTTAGCTACTGCTCATTTGCCAGTTGCAGTTCAGGATTTACTCTCAGAGTTTGCACAGTTGTTTGAGCCGGCTTCCGGTCTACCACCACGCCGTGACTGCGACCACGCTATTCCGTTGATTCCCGGTGCTCATCCAGTGGCTGTCAGGCCTTACCGTTATGCTCCCATGTTGAAATCAGAAATCGAGCGACAGGTTACTGACATGTTGCAGCAAGGCCTCATTCAGAAAAGCTCTAGCTCTTTCGCTTCTCCAGTGCTACTTGTCAAGAAGAAAGATCAAACCTGGCGTTTCTGCGTTGACTACCGCCAGTTGAACGCAATCACTGCGAAGGCCAAATACCCGGTTCCTGTCATCGAAGAACTGTTGGATGAGTTAGCTGGTGCCAGTGTGTTTTCAACTCTAGACTTACAATCTGGTTTCCACCAGATCCGGCTGAAAGATGGGGAAGAACATAAGACAGCGTTCCAGACACACTTTGGGCAATTTGAGTTTTGTGTGATGTCCTTTGGCTTGACTGGTGCTCCTGGCACATTTCAGGACGCCATGAACATGACTTTGCAACCATGTCTGCGACAGTTTGCTCTAGTATTCTTCGATGATATATTGGTGTACAGTCGGTCTATGGAAGAGCACCTGACACATTTGAGAATGGTCTTTGAACTCTTGGCTCGCGATCATTGGCAGCTCAAACGTTCCAAGTGCACCTTCGCACAAAGTCGGATCGCTTACCTGGGTCACGTCATCAGTGCTGACGGTGTGGAGACTGATCCGTCCAAGTTGGACGCAATTGCAGCATGGCCGACCCCTACGTCGACCAAGGAACTCCGGTCCTTCTTGGGATTGGCCGGCTACTACCGCCATTTCGTTCGTCACTTTGGCATCATTTCAAAGCCTCTGTCAAATTTGTTGAAGAAGCATACCCTGTTCATCTGGACACCGGACCACGAGTCTGCATTCCAGGCTTTGAAAGCAGCGCTGTGCCAGTCTCCTGTCCTGGCCTTACCGAACTTCGCACGACCTTTCACCATCGAGACCGACGCCTCGGATGCAGGGGTCGGGGCTGTGCTCATGCAAGACGGTCACCCGCTCGCATATCTTAGCAAGGCTCTGGGAACTAAGTCCAAGGGGCTATCCATGTATGAGAAAGAATTCTTGGCTATCCTTCTCGCAGTCCAAGCTTGGCGTTCCTACCTGCAATTTCAGGAATTCGTCATTCTCACTGACCAAAAGAGCCTTACTCAACTGACGGATCAACGACTGCATACCTATTGGCAGCAACGAGTCTTCTCCAAACTGATTGGACTCCAATATCGGATTGTTTACAGGGCTGGTTCAGCAAATCGCGCGGCTGACGCGTTGTCTCGACACCCTCAGCCGCCGGCTGTTTGCAATGTTGTTTCCTCTGCGGTGCCATCCTGGACAGCGGCGGTCAGCGCTAGTTACCATAATGATCCTTTCGCGACTGAGCTGATCACCAAACTCACACTGGATCCTGCTTCTGTTCCCAAGTACTCCTTTCAGTCCGGCATCCTTCGTTACTGCTCCCGCGTGTGGGTAGGCGCTGATTTTGGGCTGCAGCAGTCCCTCATTACACAGTTTCACTCCAGCTCTTGGGGTGGACATTCCGGCGTGCCTGTTACCTATGCTCGACTCAAGCAATGTTTTGCCTGGCGTGGCATGAAGACCGCTGTCAGAGAGTTCGTCCAAGCTTGTGTCACTTGTCAACAATCCAAATATGATCGAGCTAAACTGCTAGGGCTTCTGCAACCACTGCCAGTACCCGACTCGGCATGGCAAGTTCTTTCTCTTGACTTTATTGAAGGACTTCCAACTTCCCAATCGTACAATTGCATCCTGGTGGTCGTTGATCTCCTCACTAAGTATGGACATTTCATCCCTCTTCGCCATCCTTTTACTGCAGCAGGCGTGGCTAAGGCATTCTTCGCCAATGTGTACCGGCACCATGGACTGCCTCACTCCATCATCTCTGACCGAGACCGTATCTTCACAAGCCATTTTTGGTCGGAGCTGTTCCAGTTGGCCAATGTCGAGTTATGCCGAAGCACAGCCTACCATCCACAATCGGACGGCCAAACTGAGCGTCTCAACCAATGCCTGGAGACGTATCTGCGCTGTTTTGTTCATGCCACGCCAACCAAATGGAGTAACTGGCTCACCTCTGCTGAGTTCTGGTACAACACGAGTTCCCACTCGGCCATCGGCCGTTCTCCATTCGAGGCATTGTATGGCTACCCACCTCGTCTGCTTGCTGTTAACCCCAATTCGACAACCAATCAAGAAGTGTTCAACTGGGCTTCTGGGCGTCAGTTCATGGATGAGTTACTACAGCAGCACCTCAATCGGGCTAAGAGTCGCATGAAAAAGCAAGCCGACCAGCACCGATCTGAACGTCACTTCAATGTCGGCGAGATGGTCTTCCTTAAACTACAACCGTATGTCCAAACTTCCTTGGCACCCCGTTCACACCAAAAGCTCAGTTTCCGCTTCTTTGGTCCATACCGTGTTATGGCTCGAGTTGGCACGGTGGCTTACAAGCTTGATCTTCCGGCACATTCTGCTATACATCCTGTTTTTCATGTTTCACAGCTCAAACGTGCCGTGGGGACATCTCATCAGGTAATTCCAATACTTCCTACTGATTTTGCCCTGCATCTGGCTCCAAAGAAGATTCTGCAGACTCGCTCCACATCTCGCGGCGACAAGCAAGTGTCTCAGGTGCTGGTCAAATGGAACAATCTGCCGCCGGAGCTCGCTACCTGGGAAGACTACGAAGCCCTGCGCCAAGAATTTCCCCGTGCCACTGCTTGGGGTCAAGCCGTGTCCAAAGGAGGAGGGGATGTCAGCAGACGACCTGCTGTTACTACAGAGAAGAGGACCGAGGATGGGGAAGGCCCGTAAGTCCGGCCCAGATCGCCAAGACAAAGGAAGCCCAATCCCAGATTCATCGGAGAGCAATGGGCCTGAGGCAAACACTTGCTAGCGTGAAAGGGGCAAGTCCCCTGTAATATAAAGAAGGGAGAGAGAGCACTTGTGAGGTACACGGATGTAAACAGAACTCAAGTTACTCTACTAAGATTCATCATCGCTACCTCTGTTCTTCTTCCTTCTCAACTTCTCCTCCACGCCTCCTTTTTCCCCCTTCTCCCGACCTCTGCCTCTCACACGAAGTCCAAGGTTAACCCCTCCTCCTCCTCCCCCACCTCCTCGATGTCCAGGCCTGTTGCTGGGTGACGAAGAGTGCGCGGCCGTGGCGGCAGTCGAACGGGAGCCAGCCCAGGAGGTCGCGTCCGGCGGGGCGGCCGGAGGCAGGGTCACCGGGGACGAAGCGGGAGCAGTAGGGAATTTCGTCCCTCACGACCCGGACGAAGCCGACGACGGAGGGCGCCGGGTAGAGCGCGCGGTGGCGGAGGCGGAAGGCGGGGTCAGCGAGGATGCGGCGCCAGCGCTTGCAGACGAGTAAGGCGCGGAGGAGGCACGCGGGGTCGTCCGGCGGGAGGCGGAGGAATGCCTCGCCGAGGAGGTCGTCCGCCAGATCAGGCGGCGGCGGCGGCATTGTTGTGGTCGCTCGGTCGATCGAAGAAAGCGACGAGAGGGTTTGAGATTTGGGGACCTAGGATTGGGACGGGATCAGGGGAAGACGAAACACAGAAGAGCGAGCGCGAGCGCCACTGTGAAGTGTGCACGTGTGCTGAAACGTGGCGAGAGAAAATCACTATTCTACTACTGAAAAGTAGCAAGCGAACCGGGTAAACTACGATTATGTGAAGTGGGCGCTACTGTTGCTGCTACCAGGCTCGGTTGGACCAGGTAGGCGGCGGAGGACCGGAGGTGGTTCGCCTCCGTGGCATTTTTATTTTAAATCTTTTTATTTAAAAAATACATATATTATAAATAGCGTTTGATAAATCTGCTATGCCGGTGGCGCGTCATGGCTTATCCCGACACCGTTCATAATAGAAGAACGTAAGCGTTGTTCAGAGACGTACGAAGATGGAATGGTTCTGTCCCTCGTTTTCTAGATTTTCTGGATAGGACTCCATACGACCATTCTTGTTTTTGTTTGGTTGTAGGGGACAGAACACTAGACGAGTTGATACACGGGGTCTATTTGTCATCCTCATGTTTTTCTCCTTCTTCTTCCTCGATCGTTAGGGATCTCCATTGGTCGAACACCCGCCATCAACCCCCTCGCGACGCGCCTGCAGCTCGCCTCGCCAAGACTTCTCCGCCATACAAAGCTCGCCTTCACAAGATGCCACTTTGATCTCGTGCGGCTCGCCCACGCGCAGCCCGCCATCACCGCACTAACGGCGTCATTCTCCTCAAGAACCTCATCTCCCAACGCCACCTTATTCACTTGATCGTTTCTGTGGCTTATAAGCTGGCTGATGCTGTTTTGTTATGAGAGTAAAATAATATATCATGATTGGCTGATACGATTGAGCGAACAGGGTGGTTGCGGCCGTAACTCGTCCTACACGGGCCGCTCCGCCGCTTGCTGAC